TTTTGGCCAAGCCCACGGGCTCGGAAATCCCACGTTAAACCGGCCTTGTGCCACATGAGGCCCTCGTGGCGGGGTGACGAAATACCGTTCAGTCCTAAGTCGGGTGACCGGCTGATCGGTTGAAGTCTCTACCTTCGGGCCTGGAGGAACCCGAACGAGGCTACGCCGAAGGGCGGAGTCGCTTTCGGACAGGTAAACCGACTCTGAACCCGTTTATAAGGGTTCAAAGGGCATATTTTGAGCCGAGCCCACGGGCTCGGAGACCCCACGTTTAACCGGCCCTGTGCCACATGATGCCCACGTGCGGGGGGGGGTGACTAAATACCGTTCAGTCCGAAGTCGGGCGACCGGTTGATCGGGTGAACTCTCTGCGTTCGGGCGGGGAGGAACCCAAACGAGGCTACGCTGTTCAGTCTGAAGTCTGGAATGAAGTCCGTCAGGATCCTGTCAGTCAGTCAGTCAAAGCGAGCGAGTCAGTCAGTCGAGTCAGAGGCAGTCCGAAACAGAGTCGCATTCAGACAATTACTACTAAACCTGATTGTTCGTACTAACACTTTCTACTTCTCTGTATATATTCCTGTTTGTAATATTTCTGTGTTATTCCATATCTGTGTTCGAGTTCTTCTTTATTGGTTCTACCTTGGACTATCAGCATGGTACAAGGAATCGGACCACACACACACACACACACACACACACACACACACACACACACACATATATATATATATATATATATATATATATATATAGATATAGATGCATGTACGTTACGCTAGTACATCCGAAATAATGGTCTACTCTGTTTTGATCACGAGAAAAAATGAAATGTGAAAAATGTGAGTGACATTTCATATATATATATATATATATATATAATTCTTCTTGGTCATTAATACTTTAGGTATTTAGGTCTCATGTACGTTACGCCTTTCTACTATCACATAAATAATACACTATTTTGATATGATTTTTCTTGCGATCAAAATGATCGCAAGAAAAATCATATCAAAAACGCTGTTTCATATTTCAGTAAGATAAAGAACTAAAAATATAAAAAGAAAGAAATAAAGGAAGAAAAAAGAAAAAAAGAAAGAAAGAAAAAAGAAAGAAAAAAGAAAGAAAAAAAGAAAGAAAAAAAAGAATGAGAAAATAGAGGAAGCCATTAGATTCTCGTGTTTGACGTCTGTTTCAGTGAAATCGAAAAATTTTTCAATTTTGAATCTTTATTTGTACTCTCTTATATCTTTCCATAATGGCCTGTATTCTTACTTGTTATTACAATATATTTTTTGAAGTTATTCATCTTCATTATTTAAGGTTTTACGACCATATCACGTTGAAACACCGGTTCTCGCTAGATGACCGGATTTAAGCAACATCGTTCCTGGCCAGTTCTGATATGGCTGACCGTTTGGGATTACCAGTTGTTGCAATCTTAGATGTGCAGTTGGTGTAATGAATAACGGCTCGGAATTGGCAATTAGAGAACCGAGTTCCAATTCCAGTTGGGTTCTTTATATTCAATTACGCGCAAATACCAATAGGAAAGGTATGAACCCACCTCTTCTTCCACCATTTAGTAGAACTTGTATCTGTGAATATTTTCTGATTTAAATAACCCGCAAAAGGTTGATAAACCGTAAAACACAGTCAATCATAAAATGAATATTTAACGGTATTTTGTATTCGCAGAACTCGCCATGAACATACTAATTATTAATTTAAGAATTAATTAGACTTATTAATTATTAATTTAAGAATTAGGAATTAATTATTAACAATTATGAATTAATCATTAATTATTAATTTAAGAGTTACGAATCATCAAATTCACGTAGAAAAGCCGGGAAATTTCCACAGCTAGTATATATTAATTTATTAAAACAATTTTATCTGCGAACGAGAAATTGTAGAGAAGCCTGTTATTCAGATAGTCAGAGACCATTTGAACACTTCTAGTCGAAGTGTTTGCGTTGTTTTCCTACCGGGTCTCAGCGTTCTTGATATATTAAGAAGGTTATATACCACCGATAATAAATCTTCGTAGGATTTCTATCTCCCTTAGGGTGGCCTCGTTACCAAATGATTCTATCACTAGTACAAATTTTATTTGTTTACTTTTAATAATGTTCTCTTTCATAAACTAAATAAAACCTGATATTTCGTACGTGAATACAAACGTGATATTTATTCCGTAAATTTTGTTTAGATTGAGAAAATACACACGAGACAAGAATTCATTCCTAACATCTCATGGCTAAGGAGGAAGCGAAATAGTTTAAATTGACTCGGACCCTCAAAACGCACCTTACACGGCTGTATGTAGGACATTAAAATATGAAAAAGTAACCGAATTACTCAGGCCTTGTTACGTGTCACACAATTCTTTTTGTAAGAAAATGAGATTAATCTTAAATCAATGTTATAATTTGTGAAGAATATTGATACATTTCAATAATACTCAATGATCTTACTGATGTGACCTCCATATTCTGGTTTTCTCCTTCTACAATTTTGATAGGAATCATTCTATTGTAAAAATTTAAATTTAATTTAAATCAAAGGGAACAAAATTTTCAGTGTGGGGTTAATGCAAAAACCCGACAGCTTTAATATGCATTTGATGCAATACTTGATTGAATGAAGTGATGAGAAGATTTCACCATTTATATCACAGTTTAATTGGTGTCCATCAAATATGTATTGTAAGGTACTATCCACAGATTGGTGATTTCTTGCTCAACTTGACGTCCATATTGTCTCCTTTTGATCTTGCCGATATGACCTCCATCTTGTTGCTTTCTTCTATATTTTGATCAGGAATCATTCCCTTGTTCAAGTATACATTTAATTTATATCAAAGGGAAAAAATTCAGTCTGTGTGTGTGTGTGTGTGGCGGGGGGGTTCCCCGGGGATCCTATTTGATCAAAATGAAATCCACATACCTTGCGTAATGTAGTTTCAGAATATATATGGTTATGGCGGTCTATCTCCAAAACCCTAGGATGAGTTCGATAAAATCAAACAGACATATAGCAGCTACAACTTTATATATAGATGCATTGTCAGTGACGATAAAATAACTCAAGCGTTGTTGACAGAATAAACCTATTTTGTTTCTTCTCCTAAATAGTCTTTGTAAAATGTTTATAAGTTTTAATCATACTTAAAATGTGCTTCCCAAACTTTCGGGTAAATTAAACGTTGTTTAACCTGGGACAGTCATGGGCAAACTGCGGCCCATTTGATCTTTTTGAATGGTACGTGCAATTTAATGAGTGAAATTAAGTTTCTCTATATTTTGTTTTGTTTCCTTCTCAAGTGTTCACTAACATTTTCTCTTGCGTAACCGTAGACATAAACAATGATTAAGTAAAATAATTAATTACAATGTTTCTTGAATTTCGTAAACATTTAGTGAAAGTAACGTTTTTATCATTTTAGACCATTGGTGATTTACACTATGGAAGATCATTCATGTAAACATATTTTGCTTTTGAAACATCCAAAATTAATAAGAATCCTTTGTAGAAGAAATATAATTTTATTTGTTTTCAAATGAAGAAATTAAAAATAAATCAAACGAAGCAACTTGTGTTAATCACTCGTCAGCGATAATGCTCTACCAAAGTTTTTAATTATAAAAAAAAAAACTTTTCTCTAAGGAAAAAAAATTCTATATCTAAGATATATGCTTATGCCAATGGTCTTCCATAGTGATGTTTGTTTTGTTTTGTTTTGCGGAATATCAACCTCAATGTGTTATTTAATGTGGACAAAATTTTTATTGGTGATAATATTTTGTTTGTCAAAAATCTATTTCTGGTAATAATTTTTTTCTAAAAAAGTATTGCTGGTAATAATTTGTTTCATAAAAATGTATAGCTGGTAATATTTTTCCCAAAAATGTATTGGTGGTAATAGTTTTTTCCTTCAAAAATTTATAGTGAATAATTTTTCTACAAAGTATTTCTGGTATTAAAACCTATTTTTACACTTTCATGGTGTTTTTACCCCAGTTTCGGGGTTAACTATTTTCCCATAGCTGGGACCCTAACAGGTGCTACCACCCCGGGTCAGCGTAGACCTGGGAACACCAGCAATTAAGAGGTGGTTCCACGCTCCTCAAAACCTCCTGATCAGAGGCCTTGCTGCTGAACGTAGATTATCGTTTTATCCAGGACACGGATATAGTTCATCGTCATACCCAGGACGGGTTTTCTATAGTGAAATAATTTACGTACTAACTGTGAAACATTACTGTTGTGGTAGGATCCACCTAATTTGCATAGTGGAGTACCGACCATATAAATATGGTTGGTACCGGGAAGAGAGGGAGGAATCAAGAGATTCAACCAGAGACTCTGCCCGACTACGACTCAGTCAACACATTCTCCAGGACCGGTCTTACCAGGAATATACAAAAGTAAATATTGTGTACACTTTCTTGTTTCAATACATTTTGTTCTAAGTACATTTTGTGTTGCATTATTATTCCATGCATTAGGCAAGTTTCAACAATTACCTGAAACCTTTTTAGTAGTGCAGCTCACCTTTGGATAAGGCATAGATAATACGGACTATTGCTCAAAAAAAGTTTACCCATGCCTGACATAAAGACTTCTTCCGCTGTTTCGTCCCCATGGAATATAAAGGCAGCGACCTCAAAATGAATTCTGCGTAGCGTACGATATTTCTTGCCCGCGCGCTGTTCAAACTTCACGAACATTTCGCTTCATGTATGTATTTTAATAATATATGTACGTTTTTTTTTTTTAAATCTCATATCAAGTTCTTTTGATTCGTTTCAGAATAATTCATCATGGATTACCAAGAATCAACTGCGTCGTCCAACTTCAGCGATCATTCGACAATGGAAAACATGCAAACTTCCCAAATTAAGGGCTCACTCGGCAGTCTCATCGTAAGCGTCCTTCAAACATATATCGGCCCCTTGATCGTTACAATTGGCATGACAGGAAACCTGGTTTCGATCATGGTCTTTTCGGCAAAGAGCCTCCGACGACTTTCATCCTCGGTCTACGTCCAAGCCGTGTTGGTTTCCGACACGGTCTTTCTACTAACATTGTTTGCACTGTGGCTAGAATCGTTCGGTTATGACGCCATCCACATGAACGGTATCTGTCAGAGCAATATCTATCTGTCGTATGTTGGTAGTTTCCTTTCCGTCTGGTATGTGGTTTGTATCACTATCGAGAATTACATCACAATATGTCATCCTTTGAAAATCAACAAACTGTGCACGTTCATGAGGGCCCGGGTGGTCACAGTGTCCCTAGCCGTGGCTAGTCTCTTCCTGTTTGTGGTAGTCATTCCAATAACGAAGCCGCAAGGGACCGGCCATATGGATCCATCAGATAACAATACTGAGGTGATGATGTGTGTTACGAGCTACGAATATAGACAATTAATGAACGTACTGTCGTATATCGATTCAGTCATCACAATCCTAATCCCAATGATAATAATTCTAATTCTCCTTACGTTGATTATCATATCGACTTTAAGGTCTGTACACAAGAAGCGCAAACGAATGGCCAATAAACAGAACCTGGCCAAGAAGCTTTCTGAAGTACCTCAGGTCCGTGTGGCCAAATTGCTTTCGGGCATCTCCGTCTCGTATATTCTCATGAACCTACCGAGTCACGGGATGCGATTGCTTTATCTCTTTGTGCCTTACCTGATTGTACCTCCGAGTGTAACGACGCTGACCATACACCAGTGTCTGCTGTATATAAGCTATTCGAGTTACGCGCTTAAGTTCTTTATTCTCTACATTTTTAGCGGCAACTTTCGGAAAGTACTATTAGAGAAAATATTTTGCTGTTTTCCGGCTGTGGCGCAAGAGAGTCGTCACATAAATGCAAGAACAAGAGTCTGAGAGTAAAAGACAGAGAGAGAGAGAGAGAGAGAGAGAGAGAGAGAGAGAGAGAGCGAGAGAGAAAGAGAGAGAGGGAAAGTGTGAGCGAGAGTGAGAGAAAGTGTGAGAGAGAGAGAGAGAGAGAGAGAGAGAGATAGGGTTGAAAGGAAGAGAGTAAAATAACTCAGTTTGAACAAATATGATGTTCTAGAAAGAACGACAAAAATACAAAAAAAAACAAACAAACAAACCGAAAACAAAGACTAAATTACAAGAAGGACATGATAACCGGTCACTGAAAAAAGACCCACCCCCACAAGAAAAAATACCTTTAAAATTGATTGACATTTTAAGAGAGAAGACATATTAAAACCGAAGAAATGACTTTGAACCGAAAAAAAAAAATTCCACAAAATTCCTGCATGTCCCATTAGTATATATATATATATATATATATATATAAAAAAAAGGGGCAAACTTTTTCTGACAACGCGATTAGTTCCGTGTGGAGCTTTATCAAGGCTAATTACTCAAGCAATGAAACGCTTTGGCATACAAGGTTTTTTTTTCACTTTTCGTCAATTTATATTGTCTTTATAGATTTATTTATATCTGCATTTTTATAGACACACACACACACACATATATATATATATATGTGTGTGTGTGTGTGTATGTGGCTCTGTATGTTTGAAATTGATTTCAGCGTATACAGTTATACATACACACATTCGCATATATTTGCGCACGCGTGTGTGTGTTCCTGTGTGGATAATTTAATTCCAGAATTTAAAATTTTTATTTAATTTTTCTTCTTTCTGTTTTATAATAAATTTCATATTGCTGGGGGTACTGCAAAATTCTTCAACTGATGCCTAATCAGACCAAATAATCAAACATCAGTATTTATCTTAGAATCCGATCCCTTCTTGGTCAGGCCAATAAATTTTCAACACCTCATATAAACACCTTTGTGCAAATTAATTGAAACACAACGAATAATTCCGTTATTATTTACGTCTTTTCATATTTTGCCAATGAAACATGGCCCAGTGCGCATGTAAGTGCTTCCGATGATCATTCTAGTAAGTCATTCCTTGCAGACTGACCAAAGATTCAAGACTAGAATTAATTCAGGAGATTTTCCGGGCCAGTCGATAATACTTTGATTTGCTGACTGGTAAGGCTTGTCTGTGTGTTCGTGCAGCGTTACAATTTTCGTACGCTTCCTTGGAGTAACGTTCATCGCAGACAACGGGCGTAGGGCAACTAATCGATAGTCGAGACAATAGTGTTGGTGCGTGATGAAAATCTGATGCAATCACGCATGTCGCAATATTTTTCAAGGGCAAGAAATTTCATCATACACCCCGAAAATAGATTCATATTACTGCACACCACTGCAAATGGAGAAAATGGAAATCGATTACACCCTGTAACTCCAGTGGCTCTAAAACTGACTGTATGATGAAAGAAAGGAAACAAAATCAGTTGTTTCAGTTAATTTGCACAAGGATATATATATATATATATATATATATATGGTGGGGAGAGAGTGTTTGGAATTTAAATGAAATCCTCAATTAAACAAATATATTGTGTGCGGCTATTAAGGTGGGGAGAAAAATTATTACTTATTTGTATTACAGTTAAAATGTTTGAAGTGACCCCTGGTAATTTTTTAAATTGACCACCAAAATTCGGTGTTTTGTATTTTAAATAGGAGAAAATTATTATACATAGTTAAAAAAATGGAAAGATAATTTTTATTTGCGATTTTATTACAAGAAAAAAAAAATTATGATTAAATTTTACTCTCGTCAAAATATCTTTCTTTATCCTTGATTACTGCAGACCAAATTTTTGGCATTTGTTCCAAAAGTTTCTCAAAGTCTACGTTGATAATTGATTTCATTGTCTCTTCACTGATTCTAAATGCATTTTTTCATTTATTTTTCACTCTTCTGTAAGTTTCATCCGATTCTAATTCTGGGGTTGACTTCAAACATTTCAATTGTAGTGTATATATTGTTAATTTCGTTCCATACATTTAACGCAGTCTCTCGTTCACAAATGTCAAATGACATTCCAACATTTATTTCCTTCGTTTTTGTCATAACATTCGCCAAAGATGACAAAAAACAAACCATAATCCCCCATCTTTGAATCAAATATATCACTTACGTGATATCCGGGGAATTACATATGAAAAACTGATCAAAACACACTTTAACATTCATGCCCGGCAAAAAAACGGTATGTCAAAAAAAAAAAACGGCCTTTCCCTTGACACAACTATCATTTTAACTCCTCAGTAATGTTCATCGTTTTAAAAATTGATGATTAGAATTTTAATAATACCTAAACATATGAATGTGAATTTATACATTTTATTTGTTCCTGATAATTGACAACTAAATAATAAACACTATTTATTTGTTAGACCTCGAGAGGCACGGTGGAGTGATGGATAGCGGTTCGGATTGAGGAATCGGAGAGCCGAGTTTGAATTTCAGTCGAATTCATTGCAATCACTTACGTGCTAATACCCTCTTATTCGCTCCCCAGCTATGGGTAAATAGCAGAACGGACCGGGTTCTATAGCCATGCATGGCAACTGGTCTAGGAGAAGGACAACTCTGAATTTAAAACCAGATCCTCCAGGTCGGGGGTTGTGCAATAGGCTAACAACTTACTCACTAAAAAAAAAAATGGCTTATTACAGAAACCGCAATGATATCTTGCGGGTCTATGTTTATCAAGGAATTTAAAAGGCATTATATATATATATATATATATATATATATATATATATATATATATATATATATATATATATATATATAAGAAATAACAGTAAGATATATAATCCGGTGTTCTTATTGATATTTTTATTTTGACAAAACAGTGCTCAATGTAAATTTACAGACCATAAGTATTATAAATTAACTGATTTAAAATGTGTTTTTTCGCTACACAGTAATAACCATGTTTCAAAAACTGAGGCTAAAAATTTCAAATTTAATTATATAATTAAATTAAAACCATTAGTTTAATTATATAGTTACATTAAAAGCATTAGTTCTGTTACATCTTCAAGCGAATTATGGATTCTAGAATTCGCTTGAAGATGTAACAGAACTAATGCTTTTAATGTAACTATATAATTAAATTTCAAGCGAAAAAACATATATTAAATTTATAATATATATATATATATATATATATATATATATATATTAGACTGTTTATTTGAATCAAGCCATGACTTTGGATTTTATAAAATGGTAAATAAGAAGAATTTCTTTATAGTTCGTTCACATATATGCATAATTTGTACTAGCTTAAATATAACGTTATTCTTGCAAATAAACAATCACATAGTGTTTAATATTTTTGTTTTAAAATATCAAGAACAAAAAATATAAATTCACATTCGTCATTTGTTTCGGTTTAATTACTCTTCATTTTTAAAAGCAATAAACGAGGTGAGAAGGTATTTAAAATAATAGCAATGTCAAGGAAAAAAAATCCGTCCTTTTGACACATCGAAGGTTAAAGATTATTTTGGGAAGATTCCAGTATTTTTCAAGATTTCAAGGCGAAATCTTCGGCTGCATAAACGCAAAATGCGTTCGTAGATTTGTACATGACTTTTTTTTTTTAGACTGGTTTGATTCAATTGGTTAACTTTTTGACCTTTTTTTTATTTCTTCAAATTGCTTTTATGAAATGATTACTATTGTCATTCATTTTTTAATTATTATTCTTTTAATTTCCCTTGTGACTTTCATGTATAACAATTTAAAATTTGGTGTTCATTTTGTTTTTATCAATTATTGTTCGACGGTTAACTTAGAAATCTGCATCAGAAATAAAGATTTTCCAAGGTAATTTGAACACGAAGGCATTCTCCCCAGAAGACTCTAACATCCAGTAGCATCATATTTTCCGCTATGAAAGATCAATAACAGGTGCAATTTGAATCCATATATATATATATATATATATATATATATATATATATATATATATATATATATATATATATATAATATTAGTGGTAAATATACACATACATATGCAAAATATATAAATATATATATATATGCATACACAGTGTTTAAGCCTTTTATTATATATATATATATATATATATATATATATATATATATATATATATATATATCATATATATATCTCACAAACTCATAACCATCAACAAAATACACACACACACATATTCCTGAATATGAAAGGATTATGACAAAAATAAGTAGACATGTTTGTGATTTATTCAATCGAATATGCCTTAAAGATAATTTTCTGCCTAAATACACAGACACACACATACACACACACACACATATATATATATATATATATTCATGAATATGATAGGATTATGCAAAAATAAGCAAACATAATGTTTGTAATTTATTTAATCGAATAAAAGATAACTTCCTGCCTAAATACACACACACACACACACACATATATATATATATATGTGTAAACAGTGTTCCCCAAATGGAAATAAATGGTAATAAATGCGACACATTGGTGGTTAAAAGTAAGGAATATTAACGATTATTGGCTTACAAAGAAAATTAATTAATTAGATTACATATTAAATGAAATTATATACATCTTGAAGTGGATCTGAAATAAGAAAAAAATCAAGATGTCAAACAATGAGTACATTTTTTGGGACGCTCTGTACATTTATTAGTGAAAATGTTCTCTAAATATATATATATCCAAGAACAAAGTGAGGAAACCTAAAGTCAAAGTCGATAAAAATTCTGTTATTATTTTAGAAGTCATTTTTAGTGGACACCTGTTCTAAGGAATGAATGAATTTTATATATTTAATCCGACATCTTTTTTTTTTCATCAG